AAATATTTTGAAAATACCTGTTGTACTTTCATTTGTTATTTATTCTTCCAAGATATTGATTAAAGAAGAAAAAGAAAATAATTTTATATGTTCTTTCCCATTTTTGGCTTTCTTCTGGTGAAAAGTTAAGAGAAAAATGGACAACTGTTGAGCTGCATCTATCATCATAATACATACAATTTTCAAATTAAAAGCCAACATAAGTACCAGAATATTTTCACAAATTAAAACATTGTCTAGTCATCATTAAATAGTTTTTGTGAAACATAGCTGTGGTAATAAAATAAGCATAACCCATCTCTCTTTGTGTTTGTAACCCTCCATCACAATAAATCAAACGTTTTTCAACACTAAAGCAGAATAAGTCAAATAAAGCTTCATAAGTGTCTACTTCTATAGTTGTTACTGTATTACATACAATGGCTAAGCTAGTAAATATTCGATAAAAATTTCAGAAATTCTGTGAAAGCATTTTTTGAGTAAAAAAATAAACTCTTGAAAAGTGGTTTGCTTAGAATAGATTTTTTTAATTATTTTTTTTTTTTTTTTTTAGAAAGTTTTTAATCTTGTTCATTATTAGTCTCCTTGTTAAAATTATCTGACTTTTTAGTGTCTTACTCATTCAAATAGCTGCAAATGTTTTCTCTATGTTTTCAATTAAAAGAATAAATGTGTTAAATGGTTTAAAGGTGAAAATGAAGCAATAATCACATGTCAAAAATACTGTCTGCAAGGAAAAAAAAATCAATCATTTCAATGTGTGCCAGGAAAATTCCTCATGGAAATTTTTGGCAAAAGCTTAATGCAGTAGAGCTGGAAAGATATTTATTACAAAAATAAGACATAAAAGTTTTCCATTATGCAAGTCCATCACTGAGCAGGTCGGACATTTTTTTTTTCCACGAGCTTGTGTGTTAATTCAAGAAGTAGATATCATAAATGGGTCGATATTTAAAAAAAAAAAAAATTAGACAGTCTAATCTTAAACTCATTTTTATATTTTAAAGTAAATTCTTTAATCTTTTATTGTTTTTCTCATTCATAATAAATTGTAAAACATTTTGCCAATATCTCAAAAATAGGCAACACTGCTTTTGGTGATGAATTTGTAAAGGCATCAATTTTTTGTGTTTCTATTTGCATAGCGTTGTGCATCCTTTGAGAGTTAGAGATAATTGCCTAGCAGAAAGAGAACTTGGAATGGTAAACCATTTTTGTCCAAGTATTTCTTGATTCTTATGAAAAAAAGCAGCAATTTACGAAAAGTATTTTAGTGGACTATGCTATAGTGATAATAATAGCTATTAATAATATCAGGTAGAAACTGATTGAGAAAATTCAACAGGATCTTCATCATCATAGTTTCTATATTCCACAAGCAGATTTATTTTAACCTCAAACAAGGCAATAAAGCCACGAAGATGCAAGGTGTTACTCAGTGTGAATGAATATGAGAAAAAGAAAAACATCATTAATGAGAGAGGAATGGAAAGTAAGAGGACAGAAAATAATGATGGACATTGCATTTAAACTTTTGAAGATCAAAGTTGACTGGAAAGCAAGAGAAAAGAGTTCCACAAGCGAGAGGTGTGAGAGAAGAAATGGTTAGCATAGATCAAAGAGGGAAGCTCATCAGAACAATTACCATGAAAATATTGATAGGAAAGACATAACAAAATGCTCTGTTATGTTGGTGGGGAAAATGACTGAAGTTGAGATGCCAGGTCAGGATTGATAACATTGCAGATTTTCTTTGGATTTATCAAGAATGTCTAAATACATAACAGAAGCACCAGACCTGATGTTGCAGCAATATTCAATGCTTATAAATGTGTAAGATTGATTCTGCTGATTCTTTTTTTTTTGTATACCTTTTGTGTCTTGCATCCTACAACCATATAGGAACTTTATTACTGACAAATTTGGACCAAACAGCAAATAATATTAGCCAAAAATGAAGTTAAATGTCTTCCTTCTGAAATTAAACATTTTAAGGATAAAATAAGATCAATAATCAAGCATGTATCAATGAAGAGTTACTGCCTGAATACACTTTCTCTAGAAAAGTTATAAATGTAAAAATTAAGCAAAAGACCATCTTCATCTGGAAAAAATCACATGCCATTACCTTGAAAACTATAGTGACTTTCTTGACATGTTGACCATTAAGGCCTGAACATTTGCCAAATTTTCATTGATATTTGAGGTAAAATTCATTATTTCTCTGTAGCATAACTACTCAACAGTGAAAAGGAGCTGAAGAACTAAGTTGCTAATCTGACCAGCCAAATATATTGTTCTTGTTGATGTTTAAACACTTGGGCTTTACTGATCAACTTATGTTTTCAGCAAATTAAATTTACCTTTTAAAAAAATAAATAAAGATAGCGTCAAATAAAAAATAAAACTCTTAAGTAAATGATCTTAAATATACAAGAAATCATACAAATTTAATATTTCATTATAAATAAGGGTTAATTTGTGTGTTTCGATATTACTTAACTCTTTGGAATTGGTTGATGAGATATCACAAGAAATTTTTTCGTTTTGAAGTGGCTGATGAAATATGAATAAAACTCACCTTCCAATTTTAAGTAAATTAAGTACACAAGCAATGTACCCCCCCCCACCAAAGTAATTTTTAAAAAATTTTAACTTTCTGTATGTTGATCATTTTAGATTTTTCCTTGTCTCATTAGATTAATCAAATGATACACAGAACATTAAAATGTACTGTATATAATTACTTGTATATAATTAGAGAAATTTTAAACAAAAATTAAAGGTAAAAGTGTGTCTGGCGGGGTCGTATTATACACAACTACACATACTCAGCTTAAGAAACATCTTATTTGAAACAGCAAGATTGTAAATACTCTCAGCACAAAAAAAGTCAAAAATAAGTTTTGAAGCAGGTTAAAAATCCAGTTCATTCTTAAATAATTTAGTGATATATATATATATATATATATATATATATAGAGAGAGAGAGAGAGACACTGAGATTTTAATGGATAATATGGTACAAATAAATTGTGCTTATAAATCTCCTGTATATTATAACTGGTCATTTAATTTTTGTTCAATTAAAATTATCTGGAAAGAGCTATAACCATTACTGGACTTGAGACACCTATCTTCCTGTAAAATAATTTAATAAAAAGATTTTATAGATTTCAACTGACAGGGTGAACTGGCTGTTTTGTTAATGTTTCCACATCTGGAGTATGGGTTAAATAGTAGGACTTGTATCTAGAAAAATTATTGTTATCTCCAACAAATTCTTAATGCAATATTCATTTACAAAAAAATAAAAGAATTATTCTTACAATCCAAAATATGTTTTGACTTTAAATAATCCCCAAAAGATTGATAAGCCATAGAAAACAATCAATTCCACCCCCCAAAATGTCTATTGTTACAATTTCCATTGGATATATATTATAGTAGTTATATTCATATTCTCAATGTAGTTCAGAAATGTTTTTTCTTGAGTATCTATGAGAGTGGATCAATAAGTCTTGCCTGGCATAAAGTTATTTGCTGAACTTTCATCAGAACATTCCACTTTATAATATTTAATCTTTGTAATGAATGTGTACCACTTCATTGATAAAGAAGATGATATTAAAAAAAGAATATTTGTTTTCTGCAATAAATGCTTTTTCTTCATTAATCTGCAGGCTTATTGATGTACTGACTGGACTCCTGGTCATTTGTAAACAAGTACTCTTGAATATAAGTGCTAAATTTTTTCATTTGAATATAATCAATATATTGATCTATTTACTTACATACCTGCAGCACGTACAATATTGTCTACATTGTTTAGCATTAAACAGTAAATAAAGCCCAGTCCAAATTGAAATAGTTGACTTAAATGATTTTTGCTGCATCAACAGAAAATTGAAAAATGTCAGAGATTAAATTAAGAAAGTTAAGCAAAGAAGTAATTTGTATTTTATGATGTTTTTGAAAATTAAAGCAGTTTTTTCAGCAGTTTTTTCAGCAAGCGTATTGAATGAAAACAATAAAATTCATAAATGTTTCAAACTGAAAATATAATCTTTATATTTGAGATATTATGTTTCAAATATGGCTTAGATGAGTGGGGGGCAGTTAGAAAAAAGTGGTGTGATTTGCAATAATTCTTGCCTGTGTTTTATTGAAATTCCATAAGTTATAAAACAGTTTTGAGGTGTGTCTGTCTTCTTTTTATAAAATGCTGTTTTTTTGGGGGTGGGGGGTTGTGTACTTATGTATAATACAACCCCAACCTTTTCATCCTTAATTTTTCATTCAAAATTTCTTGTCTTATGCACAAGAAAATACAGTAATACTTATTGGCTGGTCCATCAAATGCGTGAATTATAAGACTTGAGTTACTTGAGATTATAAATTCACTAGATTTCTTTTCAATCTTTAATGGTGTACATTTATCCATGTTAATTAGTGGCAAAGTCAGGTGAACATTGGTGAGTTAATGGCCTTTAACCTGGGAATAAAGGACTTATTTTTTATGACAGGTTATGTGGACAACTTTGCAAATTGACAAATTCTTTTTTGTCTCAATTGTGAATGTTATAATGCTACCAGTGTGTCTCACATGTCACTTAAAATCTAACCACATTTGATCAGTTGAATTGCAATAAATAATCATTTTTTTTTTCTCCACTTCAAAGCTCGTCTTAAAATTTATTCCAATTTTTTTTCTTTTTTCAGCTGATAATGATCTACCCACAAAGATGACGATTGCTGGTTGCTTTAGGGATGCAGTAATGTGGATACGACGTAAACCTTCTACGGCTTTCGCTGTTGTTGTGTTCTTTGTATTTTTTTGCAAATTCTATAGCAACCTGCCATGGTTTGGGAAACGACAACGTCCTTCACAAATTGCCAGGAAACTTGGCAAAGTAGGTATCACAGTCCCTTTCTGGGGGCGCCTTGGAAACCACATGTTTCAGTATGCATCCATTTTGGGTATCGCTCAAAAGAACAGAATGGTCACATTTATTCCTGATGATCTTGAACTTTGGACTTTGTTTGAGGTGGACAGTTATGTTGGTGGAGTGGAAAGTCTCAAGAATTTTAACAGGTGAGAAATAGTTGTTTTTTTACTTCATGCTTTTAATGTAATTTGCAAGATGACTGACTTGGTGGCTGGGTTAGTTTCTTACTTTACACTGGTATAAGTAAATAGTGTTCAATTCCTTCCTTGTAAAACCAGGATATAACATGTTAATTTTCAAGGATGGCAGGCTATCTCTGCTTGGAAAATTCACACAATTTAATTTTCCTCACCATGAGAGAGTCCAGACTGTCAGTTTTAGTAAACTCGAATTTTTTTTGCAATATGTTGATGCATGTTGAAATCCTTACAGTATTTAGTATTGTTGAAGTTATCACTAACATTTTTTCTTGAGTTTTACAAACTCTACATTTTGTTTAATTTCACAAACTAGTCATTGAAATTTGAAGAAGCTGATTTGTTTGGGAAAATGCTTTGATAAAAATCCTACTTTGTAGTTTAATAATTTCTGTAATTTAATTTAAATTTATAGGACTTCATAGTAAACAATATTTTTTTACGGAAATTTATTTTTTTCCTTTTTTAACAGCAAAGAATAAATTCTTAGGATTTCTTACTCTTGAGCATGCAACATAAAACTGGCCATGCATAAATTCTTTCTGGAGCCAAATTCCAACTTTTTGAAGCCTTGTGATTTGTTTAGAGTTCTCACAGATGCGGAGTGAACTGGAAACTGGATTTTCTGTAGTTCACTGCTACCAGCAAGCAGAAATATTTCTCCTCCCGATGATGGCCATTTCGGTCGAAACTAGTCGAGGAATCTAAATGGAATAATAATAAAAAAAAACGAAAGAATATTAATCTACAACCCAGTGTGTCCAAAGATTTTAATTTTTTATTTTCTTATTGTTCAAAATATATATATATATATATATATATATATATATATATAAATAAAAGTTAAAAGATATGCAAATAACAATATTGCATTTTTATTAAATAAATATTGTTATTTTAATCATTAAATTGTTTTTAAAATAGTGGCAGTATTTTGTATGTTAAATAACAAAACTTTTAATTTTTCCAAAAAGATTAATGAAAATTTATTGTCCTAAGTTACACACCCTAGTAAAACCCTCTGTACTTTGTACTCTCTTACCTGTTTGCATTTCTCCCCAAAATTTGGTTTTGATTGGTCAGGGTATGGCTATTTTAAAGGGTGGGACGGACAGACAGACTAAGGGAAGTCACAGAATTTTATATATAGATAGATAACTGTAATATAAATGCTTTTAAAAACACTTTTAATTATAACAGTAGTTAATTGAATGTGTATTTGTCAAAAAATGCCTGTTTTTGTTTACTGGGTTGTACAGAAAAAATTATGACTTACCACATCAACCAAAATGCTGTTCTTGTGGACAAAAAAAAACAAAAGAATGATGAGAGAGGCTTACAGATAAATCATTGAAACACTAGTTCTCATATAATCACAGAAGCCAAGCAATATTGAAGTTTGTCAGTACCTAGATGGGGGACAACTTAGAAATACCAAGTGTCATTTGGACTTGCAGGTGATGCAATGTATAATGGCTTGGAATTGTTAACTGGAGAGCAGTGTTCTAATTCCAGTTGGGTTCATTATATTCACTTATGTGCAAATACCTTTGGGAAAGTATCTGTCTATATTTCTATAATGTAAATAGTGTGCCTTTGGGAAAGGTATAACTCTACCTCTTCTCCTCCAGCTATGGGTTAATTAGTAAGACTTGTATCACTAAACCATTATTATCTCCCCACAAAAAATTCTTATACCCTAAAATTATTTTCTGGTTTAGATAGTGTTGTGTCGTGGCGCAATAGTAAAAATAAGAAAATCAAGTCGAAGTTGGGTTAAGGAACAAGTGTATTTAACATCACAGATACAAAGGTAGGAAACGGGTACTACTCAGTTAGGCAGTGTAGTACTGTCGCTGCTACTACGGGTAGGTACTATTGACACTATATCTATAGTGAGAACCGGTGTAATTCTCTTGTGTTAGAGGCCGGTGTAACAGATAGCCTGCAGAGGGTTGATAAACTGGAGAAAATGAATTAATCAATAAAAAAAAAATGGATGAGGCTGGTATTGTAGAATATTGAACATGCTTTTATTATTTTAAGAAAGGTAAAAATATGATCAGATGAAAAAATCATTGTTGAATTTGATGGAGAAAATTCTGTGTATTATTAAATGCCTTAAAAATGGTTTGTGAAGATTTGTATTTGTGATTTACTGTATGGTGTATCACAGTAAAACCAGTTGAAGTTTGATAGTAATCAACACAATATATTAGTTGCAAATAATCAATGTTATTTGATGATTTAGATAGCCAGCAAGGGCAACCTGAGGTGGTGTAATGGTTAGCAAGCTTGCCTTGCTAGATCAATTACAACTGAGTAGTGAGTTTGATCCTCACTGGGTGCCCCATACTTTTGGCCTTGTGCCACATCTAAGCTACACTTGGAAAATCACTACAGATAGCCAGCAAATTCAACATATCCAAATCATCTGTTCAAAATCAGTTGCATCAGCTTCCTTAGTCACATTGATGCATAGTTTCCATATAAGTTCAAAAAAAAAAAAATATCCCTGAATTGAATTTCTGGCTGTAACTCATTATATAAATATTGAAAAATACTCTGTTTTAGAAAGACATTGTAACAAGTGATGAAAAGCTGATACTTTACAACAATGTAGAATATAAAGAAAGTATGCATATCAAGGTCACTTTGTTTATCTCTATCTAGATCAATGATTCTCAGCCGCCATGCCACAGTATACTAGAGTGATGTGAAATATTGTCATGGCATACATACAGGATATGATGGGTAAATTGTCACCATTTTATATTTTTAATTTCGCACATGTGCATTATTTGTTTTCGATTTTGTCAACTGCACAGTATAGTAGGGTCAGTTGGGCACCATCTGTGAAAAAAAGAGCACCATGATGCAATTCACTCTGCCACAAATTTGGAAATGGCATGTTGTACTGCTTGGCATTTATGCTGGAAGCTCCAATATGATACTGAATACAAATTCAGTGTTTGGGTGTCAATCTGAGGACAATGCAGAAGATTTAGAAAGAGTTGGATAAGTCTAATGGTGATTATAAAGGTATGGCAGCTTTGAAAACTCTCTCTGATCATTCTGATAAGAAAAGAACTCTTGAATTTGTTGGTGACAGCCTCAAACTCAGCATAGAGTGCCTTGAGGAGGTAGTGCTACCCTGGGTCAAGAGGGTGGCTGTTGGAAGACCCTATTTCTGACAACAGGACTTTACACCATGCCACACAAGCAGGAGAACTCAGTCATAGCTGTTAGACAATTTTTGTGACCATATCACCCCTTACATCTGGCCACCTAACTCCCCAGACTGTAACCTCCTTGATTATTATGTATGGGGTGCAGTTGTGTGAGAGACCAACAAAGCTCCTTTTAACACCAAAGACGAAGAAGTAAGGGTTACGTCAGCATTCACCAACTTAAACAAAGAAACCATCCAGAAGAGTTGCAGGAGATTCCAAAGTTGTCTGGAGGCCATGGTTGAAGCCAATGGCGATTTTATTGAATAAATTTATTCTTTAGTATTTCAAGATATTTTTGTGTAATTTTGGTAAATATATCTATTAAAATAAGATGTCAGAGTTATTTTTGTGTAATTTAGATGACAATTTATACATCACACTCTGTGTGTATATATATATATATATATATATATATATATATATATATATATATATATATATATATATATGTGTGTGTGTGTGTGTGGAAGTAGTAATGGTACAGTATTAGTATTTGAATAAATGAATAAGAATTAAACTTTTCTTTCAAATAATTCTTTTCATTATTCTTTGATTATGTTATTTTAAACATTCAATGGTACTTATTGATATATTTTGTATTTCAATACAAAAGGAAAGCAAAAATGGTTTATCAGTTTTATTGCAATTTTCTCCTTATTTATCTGAATTAGGCTTCTTGACCTTAAATAACATAAAAATTAAGAAGCGTAAAATACTATGTTCAACTGATTAAATGAGGGGTCTGCTTATCATACATTTGACCAAACATTGAAGAAATTGTGAAAAAACACCAGGCACAGGTTTCACACTAAATAAGCTGCACAAATAGTTGAATAGAAACATTAGAATAAAGTAAATCCCTGTTTTTTTAAATTTTTTAAAATCTATAGTTTTATTTCATAACATTTAAATGTATACTCTTTATAAATTTTGCTAAATGTGCCATGATATTTTCATTATCTTCTAGTTGTACTGTGGCTTAAAAAGGCTGAAAAACATTTTGATCTAGACCCTTAAACCAACTACCCTGTATAAAATTTTATCATGCATGGACAAGTACCTTTTTATGACCCTATAGCAACATTTACAAATTGATGGCATAGCGAAGGGTTCACCTCTTGGAATTACTCTAAATTCTATATGAAACATGTAGAAAATGAAATCTTCAATAATTCCACCAAAGCCCCCCTACATCCTTATAGTGATCACATCATCATATTAGCAAAAAGTTTAGATGAAATAAAAAGCATTAAAGAAACCTTTAAGAATAACTGTGTACTGCATTTACTTAAGAACACACTATTAATAACAAAATCCCTTTACTTGATGTCTTAATTGGTGCCAACATTAATATCTTTGCTACTTCTCTTTATAAAAAAAAAACACTAGCACAAACATGTCTCCACAACAATAAAAGCAAATGTCCTCACAGATACAAAATAGCTTTTATAAAAAACACGATTTACAGGAGAAAAATAATCTTTTCTTCTTATTCTGTAAAGAACTAATCAATATTAAACAAACTCTAATCACCAATAAATTCCCTAAACACATTGTCAATGAACAAGTAAAATTAACCCTGATGAAATTTAGAAAAGTAATAGAAGACATCACTTGAAGCTAATGAAAATAATCACACCATTAACTTATTCTATTATAACCATGTGCACCCTAATTATAAACAGGATGGAAAATCAATTAAAGATATAATTCGCCAATACATATCAATAAATAATCCTAAAAAACACGTTAGATTTATCTACTGTAAAAAACTTCTAATCTAAACATTTCCAATAACAAGATCACAAAAATCCCCACTATGTAAAAATAATGTTGTTTATGAATTCTTATATCCTCTTGGAGATTACATATCCAATATGCATAATAAAAAAAACAGCATTAAATTTTTACATTGGGCACACATACACCACACTCTCTTGTAGGTTGTCCTATCATCTATTAAAACTCAGTGCAATTCATGTACATATCAACCAACTAAAACACAACTGTTAATATTAGGCAAATATCATTGGATAATACCAAAATACTCTACAGCCCTCATATGCCATATTCAAAATCTAGAAAGGAATATCACAGATATCACATTGATTCTTGAAAATGACTGAGACATTTGAAAGTACTTGAACTAACAACAACATGAACTTTGGACAGTTTATCCGCAATTTTGTTCCAACATTTCATTTGAAAGATGGAAAAATACAAAAAAAAAATTTTTTTCCAATTTTATTAACAAAAGAGAGGTTTTCAAAAATAATAGAGGTTTTTAATTTTTGTACAGCATATCCTCTGTATTTTGACATTCCAGAAAATGACGAAATATATATTTTTTTGTTTGGGAATTGAAAAAATACAATGTACTACACTAGAGGGAACTGCAGACATTAGGAAACGTCTAAGATAAATGAACACAAAAAGAGATATAATATGGTGATCCTAGAAGCAAAATTTATTTGTAAGTTTCCTGAGAGTGAAAGCTAGTTAATTAAATGCCAGTTTAAACAATAGAAACAAACAAAAAACTTTCCAGGAACTTTTTTCAATCTATTTATTATGGTTCTTCTTTTCTTTTTCTTTCCCTACCCTGGAACGTCTTGGAGATAACGCTGAAGTATGTTTCTATATTACATTTATTTTCTAGCCATCAAGGGAAATAACTTAACATTTTCTCGATTATTTCCCTTTAAAAAAATATTTGCGTTAACAAAATGACAAGCCTGAAGAATGATTCTGACAGGCTGTGAAACTTCGAATCACAGAAACCATTTAGTTCTTTTACCTGTTACTTTCATTACCATCATTAAAAAATGTTTTTTATTACAGGCCCAAGCCCGTTTCATCCTGTAACTTGAACAGGTCAGTCAGCTATCACATTAGAGATTTGGTTTGATTTGTTTTGTTTTATGGTATATTAACCTCAATGGGTTATTTAATGCCAACAAAAGTTTTTATTGCTGCTAATATTTTGTTTTGTCAAAAATGTATTGCTGGTAATATTTTTCCTTCAAAAATGTATTGCTGGTAATATTTTTCTTTTTTCAAAAATGTATAGCTGGTAATATTTTTCTTTTTTCAAAAATGTATAGCTGGTAATATTTTTCTTTTTTCAAAAATGTATTGCTAGTAATATTTTTTTTTTTCAAAAACATATTGTTGGTAATATTTTTTTTCAAAAATGTATTGCTGGTAATAGTTATTTTTCTTCAAAAAATTTTTGCTGTTAATAACTTTTTACAAAGTATTTCTGGTATTAATACCTATTTTTACACTTGGTGTTTTTACCTCAGTTTCGGGGTTAACTATTTGCCCATAGTTGGGACCGTAACAGGTGTTACCACCCCAGTCAGGGTGAACCTGGGAACACCAACAATTAAGAGGTGGTTCTACACTCTTCAAAACCTCCTGATCAGAGGCTTTGCTGCTGGACGTAGTTTATTGTCTTATCCAGGATGCGGATGTAGTTTATCGTCATACCCAGGACGGCACATTAGAGAGAATAACACTGTATGATTGCTTATCAACATGAACATTTAATGAAAAATCCAGGACTGCAGGAGACATGATGGTTAAAAGACAACACATATGCATAATATGAGAGGTCATTTCCAACTCTAACCTTTTTAGCATAATTCATTAGATGATGAAATTGCATTAGGATAATATATGAGTAATTACAATGATTGATGTTTTTTATGGCTTATCAACACATTGAAGGTTATTTAAAGCTATAAATTATTTTTAGAATGTAAGAGTTTTTTGGTGATAATGATTTTATTGATACAAGTCTTACAAATTAACCCATAACTGGGGAGAGAAGAAGTGGATTTATATCTTTTTCAGGGTATTTATGTATAAGTGAATATAATGAACCTGACTGGAATTGGAACTTGGCTCTCTGGTTTCTAATTTCAAATTGTTATCCATTACACCACTCACACATCCAAGCTTACAGCACTTGGTATCTCCAAGCAGTTAATTATCTGGTTAATGACCAGGCTCAGCATTGCTTAACTTTGGTGATTGTACAAGAGCCAGTGTTTCAGTGTGATATGGTGGTAAGCCTGTACTTATGACAAGAACAATATGAAAATATATTCATTCTTATATAATTCTGTACACATATTTTTTGTCTTGTTGAATAAATGCTTTCTTCATATAAATCTATAATCATGCTTACTTCACACCTTTTTTTGTGTTAGTTGGGGCTATTTTCCAGTGTGTCAAGTCCAGCTATAATCCCATCCCGAGTAAGACGAAAAACTACATCTGCGTTGTGGGTAAGACAAAAAACTACATCTGCGTTGTGGGTAAGACTATAAACTACATCTGCATCCTGGGTAAGAGTATAAACTACATCTAATAGCAAAGCCTTTGATCAGGAGGTTTTGAGGAGTGTGGAACTACCTCTTAATTGCTGGTGTTCCCAGGTCCATCTTGACCTAGGATAGTAGCATCTGTTATAGTCCCAGCTATGGGCAAATAGTTAAAAAAAAAAAAAAAAAAAGGGGCCAAAACACTATGAAAGTATAAAAAATAGGTTTTAATACCAACAATACATTTTTGGAAAAAAAAATATTACCAGCAATAAAAATCTTGTCGGCATTAAATAACCCACTGAGATTGATATGCCGTAAAACAAAACAAACCAAACCAGCTATAATCTGTAAATTATAATAAAATGTAATAACAAACAATATCCAGTTTTTTATTATTCATCTTTATACATTCATTTTGTTCTCTTTTTTTACAGTTATGAAGAAATTTCAGCAGCTGTCTACAGTCGAAACATCACCAATCTCCCTCATCAGGACACTATTATTTATGGCTATCTACAATCCTTCAAGTATTTTGATTTCATGAAATCAGAAATTCTACAACACCAATTCCATTTTAAAGAAAAGTACAGGAACCTTGCGGAAGTGATGCTTCAACGAGCCATCACCACGCACAAGTCAAATGTCCAATCCCGTAATGGTTATCTGGTTGATATAGTTGTGGTTGGTATACATGTTAGACGAGGGGATTTTGTTCGGAGCCAATCACAGGGTTATGTACCAGCCCCCCTGCCTTATTTCTACCGTGCCATGAACTATTTTCATACAAGATACCCAAACGTCATGTTCTTTGTTTGTAGCAATGAGATTATTTGGTGCAAGAAATATCTGGATGATGATAACATTTTCTATTCCGACAGCGCCAGCGACTATGTAGATTTGGCTGCATTGTCTTTATGTAATCACACGATTATCTCATCAGGTTCGTATTCTTGGTGGGCTGGCTATCTCAGTAATGGCACTGTCATATATTACAAAGATTTTCCTCGACCTGGAAGCAGTCTCGATAAGTCTATGGCTCGAAAAGATTATTATCCTCAATCTTGGGTACCACTTTAATTTATGCTAATTCCTATCAGTCTATCTTTCTATTTAACATATATTTCCATGTATAAGATGACCTTTAAATCCCAAAAATCACCCTTAAAAATTGGGGGTCGTCTTATATTACAATTCTAAAAAAGAAACCTTAAATTCTGGGCGATGTTTGTCTGTAGGCTAACCTTGGCATCAGTGTGATAATCAATAACATACATGAAAAGATTCACATTATCAAATAAACTGATAATAAAAGTAATAAAAGCATTTCTACCTTATATATTACTGGTGTAACTTCATAATAAATTGCCTATTTGAAGAATAATTCCATATCAACGAAATCAACTTGTATCCATGCAATCTCAGCTGAGAAAATGTAAACATCGAATTATAATTGCATCCACAGTAGTGGAATGTACTATTATTATACATTATTGTACTGTTATTAGCGGTATTTTGTGATTATCAATGAAGTATATGTAAATGGCCATTAGTACACAAGGCTGTTTGTAACTGTTTAGTTACAAGAAAAGAAGAGGAAAAAGAAAAATCAGTATTTGCAAGAGATCACCTAATGAAACATAAAAAGAATAATAGTTACCCTTTGTAGGGAATGTGTGTAGTAAAGATATGACATAGAATCAGTTTTGTTATTTCCTTTATTTTGAATTTCTAAGGATATAGTAAGTAAACCATTTCTAATAACATCATCTTTATATAATCAATAAGCAGTCTTATACCAGAGGTATAAGATAAATTCATGAAGATTTGCTGTATTTGTTTGACCTTGTCTTATCTAAAGGTTTTCTTATGTATGGAAATATATATATATATATATATATATATATATATATATATGTGTGTGTGTGTGTGTGTGTGTGTGTGTGTGTGTGTATATATATATATATATATATATATATATATATATATATATAAAAGAGTGTTTAGCTTTTATATTATATGATAAAGTAGTAATTTATACAAAGAATTAATTAGCTATGTTAATGAGATTAATGGCGAAATCACTTCGCCAACAAGACTTAATAAGACATTAACTTACTATCAATTCCTTGAATAATACGATCTTTATATTTGAGTTGTACATTCGAGTTGTTGTCAGATGGAATTGACAAGTCTACACTACACATATTTCATCTTGGTGTTTTGCTTGTATATGGAAAAAAAAAATTGTGCCCTGAAGATGACAATTTGAAATTGTTGAAAGTACACAGCTTGTCAATTCCATCTGACAACAACTCAAATATACAACAACTCAAATGTAAGGATCGTATTATTCAAGGAATTGATAGTAAGTTAATGTCTCAATAAGTTTTGTTAGTGAAGTGATTTCACCATTAATTAAATTAATGTTGCTAATTAATTATTTGTATAAATTGTTTTATGATGTGTGTGTGTGTGTGTGTGTGTGTGTGTGTGTGTGTGTGTGTGTGTGTGTATATAATGAATTAATAGATTTTATTTAAATTCAGCATTATTTCTTATTATTTTAAAATATTTTATAATTTATTCTTTATCAAGACTCTTGAATGCACAGGCCGGTAAATGTAAATTTACACTGTTTAAAAAAAACATGGATGTCTACTCAAACACATCCATCCACAATATATAATGTTTAAAGTAATAAGAAATACATATACATATATATATATATATTTCTGTTAGTAACACTTGCATTAATTCTTGATTGCTGACAATTCTGTTCTTCCTGATTTTTTCCAATGCACAAGACAAATTTTAGATAAAAAACATTGCAAAATTCAATTTTTAATATTCAGTATTTTTTTTTCCCTTCCTCACCATCAGAAATGTTTATTTCAATAAAACCAAAAAAAAAAAAGAAAAAAATGACCAAAGACAAGTTGGAAAGTGCAGGAGTAGCAGTATAGTCAGTGGGAAGTGATATAAAAAGGAAAAGACATAACCTTGTTTATTTATAAAAATACAACTGTGATTATTGTTGTCTTGACTTCCTTTATCTGGACGGCTATTGCAAGAATTTACTATCATTATATATTTATTTTCACGTATTTATTTAATAAATCTCACTCATGATAGCACAGGTTACATAACCAAAAAACATTCAGATTTTTCCCTTTCAAGCCTTATATTGTAAATAAATTGAAATAAAAAGACTAATCCTCCTGCTCACTCTGAGTTTCAAAGAAATAACTCTGCTCTTCAGGAGCAAGACAAATCAATTCAATTTATTAACATCTATCATATATCTGACTTAAAAAAATATTGCATAAAATGTATGTTAATTTGAATTTTAAATTTATTCTTAAGTATGTTATTATATGGCATAATTCAATTTGATTAGATGTTTTAGATAATTTTTCCTTTATAAAAAGCAATTTGTATAAACATCTTTGATAACAATCTTAAATGTAGTAAATTGTTCTATTTAGAGTTTATTGAATTTTAGGCATTCTTCTATTTTCATGATATTCAAAATTACTTATTGGGTGCACATAATCATTTATATTTAATTTTTATTTTTTAAAATTCTTTTTAATTTTTATTTTTTAAACTTTTTATTTTATTTTTTTACATTATTGCTATTATATTTTTACTGTTATGAATAGGAATATTTATAAATAAATTATGAATTATAAATTCGGTTCTAACTATTTATAGATTATTACTTACATTTAATTTCTTAAGATATTAAGAATTTTTCATTATATTGTAATATTTAAAACTTGATTTTTATAATTTTTTATTCTGATTTTTTATAACAAATCAGGTGCATATTAATGTCTGCACTTGCCTTGTAATTCTTTTTATTTAACAGTTTTGATTTTTGATATTAATTATTTATATTCTAAGCATAGTCTGTAATTATTATTCTTATTGCAAGGTGATACCTTTTTTATGATATTCCATTTAATGTTGCTGAAGATATTTTTTTAGTTCACATATATATTTACAAAATGTAGTATTGTTAGCATATCTTTTTTCTTCAAAAGACACTTTATGATTATAATAATTTTGAGTTTTTTCTGTTGTTCCTATATAATTTTTTCTTTTGTATTAATATTATTTGTTACCATAGCTTTACATACTATATTATTAATTAAACGTTTATTTTCATTTATTATTGAAATTAATATCGTTTATATTGATCATTAAAGTTTTGTTTGTTACTTTTCAATGTTTTCCATGCAACTGTAAGTTAATATTATTCCTATCAACAATTTTTGATAATTTACTATTTATAAGGGAATGTTTATTGATTAACTTGAATATATATTTTCTTTTTTTTATTTTTATTTCATTGTTGTAATTGGTAATTTTGAATATTGTGTTAATACAAATTTGTTTAAGAATCAATAAACTATAAATAGTTAGTCATTGACTATGTTTAAAATTTTTTTTTATGCAAATTGCTTCTCATTGTCCTCTTGGGTGAAAAACCTAAAAACTGCTTGCCTTAAAAGTATTATCCTTTTAGGCAAAAAAAATAATCTTTGTTATATATATATTTTTTTAATTATAGAATATTACATTGGAACATGTATAAAACCACTACATAAATGCACTAATGTTTCGATGTGTATTATCACATCTCGTCAGTAAATTACCGCCTGATGAGATATGATAATACACATCGAAACATGAGTGCAGTTATGTAGTATTTTTATACATGTTCCAATGTAATATCCTATGATAAAAAATATTGTTTTATTATCTAATTGTATTGAGCCCTATTTTAAATTAATGTTATGAATGTTCGATTTTATATTTGATTTTTATATATATATTAACCATTAACATAAATCTGATGTTAAGATTTCTGTTTAAAACTGTTACACACTCATAACCACAAATTTAGTGCTGATCTATGCAAAATATAATTTTTTTCATTATATTTTATGATTAAATATGAAAGGATTCTTGGGCATATTTATATTTTCATTCTACATTGAAATTGTTAACATTGTTGGTCACAATTTTTGTCATCGACATGTCTTTATGCTATTTATCTATACTTGTATCTTGAAGTCGATGAAAAACTTGGATCGAGGCCACTTAACTGTTTCCAGTTTTTCTCTTTACTTCCTGTGATTATATCAACTGATTTTGTAAAGATTTTACTTTGAAAGTTTTTAATTTCTTATTGTCATTTGTGTATTCTAGCTAATAATAATAGTGGTAGTCTTAAGTTCTCAAATTCCTTAGATGAAGCATTAGCATTTTTAATTTTTGACAAATTTTCAATAAAAAACACAACAAAATAAGAGTCATACAAAAATAGTCAAAAATTAATAAAAAACCTGAACACATTGTATGTTTAGTTCAAGAACTGAAGACCAGTGCCTAAATTTTGACCAAATGGGCTATGATTGTGGAAATTTCCTTGGTAATTCAAAAATATTTGTATAAAAAATACCCAGACTTTCTTGTTCTCATAACCAACAAGTCTCAAGTATTTTCCGTTGTGTAAAGCCACTGGTTAACATATGAATACCTACAGAAATTACGATTTACTCGTCCGTTTTTGGTCTTAAGAAAGTGGAAGATTTTCTTTAAGTTTTTTTTTATATTTGCCAATTACAAAGAACTATACTTTTGATATTTATTGTGTTTTAATTGTAGTTGACAATATAAAAAACAGTTCACCAAAATAACCTTGAAATGTTTTGAGAGAATAACTTTTTGTTGTCTGTAGCTTTGTCAGGAAACGAACGTTGAAGTAAAAATAAATATTTTGAATAGCGTTAAAAATAAAATTATACTATTATTTATCTCCCTTAGATCTGATAAGCAGTCTTCGAATTTATCTCCCTTTACTCTTAGGTCACCTCAGATGTGGAATATTTCTATACAAAAATGAGATATGTTACTTGATTTTTAATTAAAGTATAATTATTAACTTTTTGTAATCTTTGT